CCCCAAAACCCCAAAACCCCAAAACCCCAAAACCCCTCGGGGGTGGATAGGTGCTGAAATTTATAGATAGGGGGTTATTTCTTGAGTGTGATGTATCCTTGGTCGATGAGGCTGTTTGTCATGTCTATGAGAGATTCTGCAACGGGTCTTTGGGTGTAGGAAAGGTGTTTTTCAGCGAGGGATCAGTCGTATCTGATTTTCTTCCCCCATTTGCCGAGATATCCTTTGAGACCGGAGTTGAAGGGGGCTATCATTCTTGCAAGTATATGAGGCATCTCTCTGGTAGTTGGGTTAAGACCTTTGTCTCCGAACTCTTTTTTGATGATTTCGCCTACTTCACTTAAAAATAACGAATATGCAGCTGTAACATATCTTTGATATGGTTTAGCAAATAGTGCTTTTTCATGAGCAACAGAAAGGTCTCTTACATCAGTGAATCCTAGAGTGACTCTGGGTAGCATTGGGACTTTTCCAGTCATAATTTTTCTCAATAAAACCATTGATGTGAAATCAGTTTCCTTGGTTAAAGTTGGCCCAATAATTCCTGCTGGATGAATGGTTGACATTTCAACAGGTGATCCTTCTTCTTTGGCTTCTTCTACAAATTCCCAAGCAGCATTCTCAGCTAGAATCTTACTCTTCACATATGCATTTATTATACTGTCAGGGTCAACTTGATCAGTATGATCATACATCAACTTCATGCCTCCTGGATCTGAAATAGTGGCTGTTGAAGCTGTTACGACAACTCTTTTAATTCCAAATTGTTGTGAAGCTCTTAAGACACTCAAGGTTCCGTCAACAGCAGGTCTAATAAGTTCTTCTTCGTCCATTTTCTTAGATATATCAGGGAACGGTGAAGCAACGTGAATGACGTAATCCAATCCTTCCACAAACTTATAGATACTGTCGTCATCTAAAAGATTTGCCTCTTTCAATTCATAAGCATCTTCATAAGGTTTGTAGGCTTGCTTGATGGGGTTGATTTTGCTAGCATTTTCTAAGCTCCTTACTGATCCTCTGACATGATACTTTCCACACTGAAGAAGGTGTTTTCCGACTGCAGATCCTAGATATCCAGTGATGCCTGTAACTCCAACTTTCATTAATAAATATTTACAATAAGATTTATTTTTATTTCAATTCAAGTGAAGATTTTAGGGGTTTTGGGGTTTTGGGGTTTTGGGG